AGATAAATCTAAATGTAAACGAACCCAGCCTTATTAATGTGTTTGCGGATAATATATCTCAACAGGTTGTCCATTGAAAGAGTGTTTTGGGTTTAATGACTTTAAGCTCTATTGACAGCCGGGTTGAGCCTCATTCAGAATTGAATTGTAAAATAGCTTTTAAAGTTCAGGAACTTCAGATGATTTGAATAATCAGTATTTTAAATGACACCAACAGAATTTGTGTGTTAAAGGGGTAGTTCACCAAAAAATGAAAATTCGGTCAACATTTTTATGTTTTCCAAACCTATATGAGTTGATGGTAGCCATTGACTTCCAATAAAAGTGTAAACGTTAAATTGGCAGCTAAGGTTGCCAGAACTTAAAACACATTAGTCACATTTTAGGTTTTACAGATTTAAACAAACATGCAAGGCTCACCTGGTTAGTGGCGTCAATAACTAAACTGATCTATATCCAAGTCCAGTCGCTAATGTTACTATTAGATGTTTTATTTGCTATTTGTAAAATGTTCCAAAGTATTACTTTTGCTTCCAAATACCAGCAGTCAAGTCAACGTCATGAAGAAACCTGCACGATAATCACATGCCGCAGAATATATAATCACGTTTGCATTCTCCACATGCTCCAAATAGGCTTTTAAACTATAAATGTATACAATATACTGTATTTGGGTGATTTTGTTATGTACTCTCAACTATGTTTAGCACATTTTGCCATGTTTAAATTCAATCTGCAGGTTAAAAACTCAGGTTCAAGATGTTTTTTGTCTTTTTAGCTGTATTTTGTAAGCTAGAAAGGTGTGACACAGTTGTGGAGTCCAGTCTGGGATGATTTGAGGCGAAAGAAATTAAAGGTAAATTATGCTTAAAAAACCATTTGTGTGCATTTCGCATGATATATTCATCATAATATTGTGTTTTTAGCTACAGCAGGACTCATTTTGTGTTGCATGTTTATAGCTCGTATCTATAAAAGGAAAGTTGCCTCTATAAAATGAGTCCATCTTGACCCATGCTTAAAAAAGTGTCAGTGCAGTCACTTTAGTGAGGGTCCTAACATTTTTAGACCCGACTAATGACCCTGAGAAATGTTCATACGGTTTCAGCTGAAAATGCCCTGTGAGGAATGCATTCAGTGGTTTAAATCTATAGATTTGAATGAATGAATGAATGTCTAAATGAAGTATGGGTATAGGTCTTTTCTACCCACTTTGTTTCTGTGGTCAACCCTGAGTGCAAAACTGATGAGCTGCAAAGATGCTGCGATTCCTCGAGTTCCTTCTGCCCTCCAGAAATCATCACGTGCAGAAAATCAAGTAGAAACAGAAATGTCAACACAGTAGCCACATATGTAAATGTCACTATTCCTACACTCTTAAAAAAATAAATACATCAGGGGACCTTTTACCACAACTTAAATTACTGCATAGTTGCAAAAATGTAAATTTAAAAAAGTTAAAAATTCTAATTTATTGATTTAATTCAACCTTTTAAGTTGCAAACATTATTTTGCATAAACTTAATGTCTTCATAACTTGTGAAAATTGGCCAGTGGATTTCTAGATCCCAGCATGCAGTGCATAGGACTGGATATGGAGAATAAATATTTAAAATAATTGTTGTGTGTGTGTGTGTGTGTAGAATTAGTTTTTTTGAGAAAGTAAAAATGCACAAAGTTTCCTGTAAGGGGTAGGTTTAGGGGTAAGGTTGGTGTAGGGCAATAGCACATACAGTTTGTACAGTATAAAAACCATTACGCCTATGGAATGTCCCCACAATTCACAAAATCAAACCTGTGTGTGTGTTTTAAGGGAAAGACCTGTTAGCGTTTGCTTTTATGTTTGACATTTAAGACTTTATGTTGATGTTTGTCATTATCATTGTGCTAAAAAGTAGCGCTCATGGCTAAGTTGGGTCTGGCTGTATGAGCCATGACTGCGCACGGGTTTTTATCCAAAGTAAACTTTTAAAAACTCGTCACTCACCATGACAATAGCCAAGGAAGGTGGCATGGTGTTAAAACTTCAATCAACCAACAACGACTGAAAATTCCAGTGACAAGTAATACCTTAGTTGTTCATTAATTTTGCATGTTAATTTAAATTTAACATGTGCTATGGTAGGCTGTTAATTTGAAAGGGGTCATGAATTGAGAAATAAAATTTTCCTTAATGTTTTGACATTTAAGAAGTCGTACTATAAAAATATCCCGTAAGTTCAAAACTTCCTCGTTAGTCCAAAAACAGCTTTTATTGAAACCAAGATCAGAAAACTACTCGTTTCACATTTTGTCACATTATGTTGTAATAATGCAATGAAAGACCGCCTCTGCAGAATCAGATCAGAATCAGAATCTACCTCATCGTATCAAAACTCGAGTTGCAATGATGAGATCACTGCATTCATGTGCTCAACTGTCTGTCATCATTTGCTACAATGAACCTTTCATGCGACAGGAGTAGATCTAAATATAATGCTATAATCAGCACTTTTCAAGATTAGTTCATCTCAATACCTCAGGAAACATTATCAAATAATTAAAAAATGCAGTTCGTCACCCCTTGAACTAGAATATTTCAGATTGTTTCCAGACCTATCAACCTAATTTATGCTACAAATTTGGTGCTATAACCCAGTGTAGTTTGTTGGTTGAACATGGTTTTATTTGAATTTGTCATAACTTCAAAACATAGTTTTTTAGAGTGTATATCTGACCTACCGTGTCCCAGACATCTATAACTTTGCATGCCTGGCTGGACGTTTCTCACGTCACTGCTGGATTGGTCACACAAACTTGGCTGTATCACAGTAACTCGACGCCTTCTCCAGAGAGCGTCTTTCCCCAATCCTACAATAGCACCACTCAGCACCGTCGGATCACAGCTTGACTCTGTGTTTTCCCCCAAAAGCCACATCTTGATTCCAACAAAACAGCACAGATCGGATTCTAATCTCCTTGCCTTCACCTCAACTCTGGCTTTGTGTGGCTTGAGTGACAGGGAATGATCATGAATCTGTTGCGGTATTACTGGTCTTAATGTACCAATAAAGGGATTAGCTGTTATTTTCAAGGAAGATGATGTTTTTAATATATAATTCATAGTTAAATGTGTATTTTCTTTGCTTCTAGTACAGCTTTCACTCTTTTGAAGGTTTTACACTAATTTTGGAACATGGATGCAGGGATATGCTTCACTCTAAAAAAAAATTTGAAAAAAGTTGGAAAAGTTTCCAACAAGGGTTTGAAGAACCATTTTATAGGTTCCCCAAATAACCTTTCAGTGAACGGTTCTTATTTTGTTTCTTAGTGTGAAAAACATTTTAATAACCTGAAGAACGTTCACTTTAAAGAACCTTTGGTGGAATGGAAAGGTTCCAGGGATATTAACGTTTCTTCAACCACAGATGCCAGTAAAGAACTTTTATATTTTTACGATTGTTCCATTCAAATTCAAATGTCAATGAGGCACTGATGTTGGGGGATGGATTTACGTGACTTTTCCAGGTTTAAGATTCACAATTTTAAGTGTGTTCCTCCTCATATATCCAGGTTTTCCAAGTCTGGGAACCTGGTTCTTCCAAGAAAAATGTGAATCAAAATCAAGTCAAGTCTTCAGGCCCCTTTGAAGTTTGCTGATGCCCCCTGGTTTGGAACCAATGCTCTAGATATCGATGTTGTCATCAGCCACTGGCAAAAACCCCATATTGATAGACTACTAATATACACAATGCAATTCAATACACATACAGGGGCTATAATGGTACTGGGGAAGAGTGCAATGTGGTAGAAATAAACAAGAATACAATATAACGCATCCGAATTCTCTTTGATGTCATCAGGAATGTGATTTTCTACCTTAGTCTGGGGTCGATGCACATAACATGTTTTTAAAATTCATGACCAAATCTGAAACTACTGTAGATCTGGGCATTTATAATGTAATAATGTCTTTTATCTCACACTCTAGTGTTGCATACTTGAGTGTGCATAGGTAGGTGGATGGTTGCGTGGGTGATTCATGTCTTCCTCTGCCTCTAATTTATTCTTTCTTCTTGCACAAAAAAGCACAATACCTTTACCAATTTACCTTCCCTCCTTGTACATAATCTGAGCAGCTCTCATGTGCTACCAGATTTTCCTGGATCATTAGAAACACACGCAGTTTAATTAAAGAGCGGGAAATGAGCTGCATCTAACTTTGAGACTCACTAGCCAAAATAAGAGCTTCTTCAAGGTGCTCAAGTAATTTGAAGTTTTAATAGCACATCTCCCCTCAAGCCGCATTGCTTGAAGTATCATTAGTTCCCATATCACCAAAATTGAACAGGTTTAAAGGATTGGTGCAAATCCCTAACTTCAAGTATAATGAATAACAATTATGCCTTAACAAACCACACTATTAATTATTTGCTGTGCCTCCAGAGTCTTTTCCTATGAGCTTTTTTATGTGCTGTTACGTGACAGTGACTGGTCCTCTAAGGAACCACGCGCTCATGCTGTAGGTGATGGTTTATATTACCATTGGAAAAAGAGGCCAAGACACAGACAGCTAGTCGGTGTTGAACTCTGACCTGCAGTATTCATTTGCATCTGCATTTTAAGCTTGACTTTGCCTTCAGTAAAACTAATTTCCTTATATTGGTCGTGGAAAACAGTCACTTTAATGCATTTACTTTTTTTGTTCAATGTACCCTGCTTTACTCCATCCAAACTGTGATTTTTGTGTGTAGCAACCATTTCATTGTCCATTGCACTGCTGTAAAATCTGCAAACAGTCCAGAATGCTATAAAATTATAAAACCAGAAGCAAGTGGTATCAGTTTTTCCATGATATGTTTCAGTGTTTTGTATTGCTAATCTTGGACTAGCATTTCTGCAGTGTGCTTAAAATGAAGGTCATGTCATTTAATTGTCTCGGCTCTTTTTATTGTTGATTGGCATCGGAAGCGAAATGGCTTACCCTATTTGTAATGCTAAAGCTAATTAAACTACTCCACCGCGAGGCGAGCCACCGCCTGTCCCGGACCCTGCCTCCCGGCGCCCCCCGGTTGCCCTTAGTTGGGTGTCTGGTCACCTCAAGTCTTTCGGATGAGACGTTAAACCGAGGTCCTGACTCTCTGTGGTCATTAAAAATCACAAAAAGAGTAGGGGTGTAACCCCGGTGTCCTGGCCAAATTGCCCCCCCTGGCCTTTGTCAATCATGGCCCCCTAATAATCCCCAACCACTTGATTGGCTCTATGACTCTCTCTTCTCTCCACCTTTAGCTGGTGTGTGGTGAGCGCACTGGTGCCGTTGTCCTGTGGCTGCCGTCGCATCATCCAAGTGGATGCTACACACTGGTGGTGGTTGAGGAGAGACCCCCCGCACATGATTGTAAAGCGCTTTGGGTGTACAACAATACACAATAAAGCGCTATATAAATGCATCATTCATTCATTCATTCATTCATACAGTAGTATCAGGGCTTGATCAGTGGAAATAAAGGCAGGTTGTGTAAAAGTGCCATTCGATATGGTGAGAGAGAAAGGGAAAGTGAGATGAGATAACTGTAATTAGAAGCCTAGAGAAGAGGTGGACCTGACTGGTATGGAAGATATCCAAGACTTTGTTAGCATTAGACAGGCAACACTGTCTGAATGCTAATACGTGACACCTGTCCTGTCCTTGTTCTAGGTTTTTGCGTTCTCTTTGTCTCTGAACGTCTGTGTTTGAATGACCCAAAACGTTAAAAAAGGCACTTTGCAATTTGAGATCCAGCTTGTAAGAAAACACTGCCATGGTTGGCACAATCAATTAATTTTTGTGCTCATGAATTTATGTTGCTGCAGAGAGCATACTTGGTGTTTTGGATGCATGTTAAATGTATACCTTTGTAAATTCCCATTATTCTCTTTTGCAGTGAACGAACCTGGAGATGTCTCAGAAGAAGATATTCCTAGTATTGATTGCAATCAGTACTGTCAGCTTGCTTCTGCACCATGGGGGTCACTTGAACTTGTAAGAGCCTTTGAAGAACGATCCCTCCATTTGTCCCTACCTCGTTCCTATTGATGCACCAAAAATATTTTTTTTACCAAAATGAGCAATGAGCCATTTCTCTATTTGTAGCTCTCTTGTAGCTCTATGAAGACACTGACAGTCAAAATGCATCTTATGCCAAGTTCACACTGCACGATTTTAGCCCCGATTTTCACTCGCCGACAAATGCCCGATATTGGAGGCAAAAAGGTGCTTGTTATTTCCTTATCACTTCTCGCATGCGTTTGGTTGTGAAACGTAGTTTGCAAACCAGACAGATTTGTCGGCGATTCTTCCTATTCTAAAGTCATGCAGTGTGTAACCTCCTGTCGCCGATCCATTGTGCAATGTGAACACAGCAGAAACTGAATGCTGCCCCAGATAGTCGTGCAGTGTGTGAAAACAACGGTGATCCGACGACTTTGAAAATCATGCAGTGTGAACTCGGCATTAGGGGAAGCATTAATTTAATGCACTGTTTTGGTCTCCAAAACTATTTTGGCCAAATATTTGCAGTTTCAGAAGCATCACTACTCGTTCCTCATTTCTGTCACCATTTGTTTTTAGTCTATTCCATTTGATTCTGGCTTGATCTTGGCTGGTTTAGCTGTTTGACTAATTGATCTCCCAACTTGACCAAATCCCCAAAATGTCAAAAACCAGCATACCAGACCAGAAGTAGCCAGCTGAAATCAGTAAACCAGCTAAGGCTTGATTAAGTTTTATCAGTAGGGTATTTTTGTTTTTGCTTTTCCATTTTTCTGATCTTTCAACATTGATTTTGAAAACTGACTGTATTTTCTTGATTTGTGCTTTAACTCTCCCTCTCTGATTGCAGGACGTTGGAGGCATTCTGGTTGGGCTGTCCATCCTCTATGACCTCCTCCACCCAGGGCAGCAGTGGACCTTCTGCTAAACACACCAGTGTAGCCTTCCTGAAGACGCACAAAACCGCCAGCTCCACTGTGCAGAACATCCTCTTCCGCTTTGCTGAACGCAACAACCTCACTGTGGCATTGCCTATTACCACCTGTGACCACCAGTTCTGCTACCCTCGACCATTCAGTGCCCACTTTGTTCATCCACACACTACACCACCTGACATCATCACCAATCACTTACGGTTCAGCCGGGCTGAGCTACGACGCCTCATGCCCAACAACACATTCTACATCACGATATTGCGGGAACCGGGAGCAATGTTTGAGTCTCTGTTTACCTACTTCAATCAGTACTGTCTTAGCTTTAAACGTGTCCCAAATGGCTCTTTAGAGACTTTCCTGGACCACCCTTGGAGCTACTATCGTCCAGAAGAGAAGGATTCAATGTATGCGAGAAATACACTGACCTTTGACCTAGGCGGTGATAAAGACTGGCCATTTTCAGAGGCGGCAGCGTATGCGAAACGATTCGCCGTAGAGATGGAGCGAGTGTTCTCCTTGGTTATGATCGCGGAATACTTTGACGAATCTTTGGTGCTGCTACGCCGCCTGTTGTCTTGGGATCTCGACGACGTTCTGTATGTCAGTCTCAACATGCGCACGCCTGACTCCAAGAGCAGCCTTTCCAGTGAAAATGCGGCCAAAATCAGAGCCTGGAACGCTATAGATTCCGTCCTGTATGATTACTTCAATGCCTCGTTGTGGCGACAGCTGAGAGAGTTGGGACTATCGTGCGTTGAGCGGGAAGTCCAGCTGTTGCGTCAGTCTCGTGACCGACTTGTCCGCAGGTGCTTCGGAGGGCATTTGCCACCGCTTCGCTCTGCTGCACAGATCACGAATAAGGAATTACGGCCTTGGCAGCCCAGTGCCAAAGTGGCAATCGTTGGGTATGATTTACCGGTTAACATAACACAAAAAGGCCATGCTCCTCCACCAGACGAGTGTCTAAAGATGATAATGCCGGAGGTGCAATACACACGGCTGCTGCTGCGCTCAGAGTCCCTACGTTATCGAAAGCGGTTTCCATTACGGAGCTCCCAGCAGACTTCACGAACTGTGGGACAAGTACGGGCACACAAAGAATCCCCAGCTCCGAGTTTGAATCCGCGACCCTCAGAGACTATGTCTCGGAGCACCAAAGGAGCGCTACGGCTTTCCCAATGACCAGTGCGAAAGGATAGTTAAGCTTCTTTCCTTTTATTCCCCGTTCCTTGCAGCTAAATGTCCATGAGATGTTGGAATTACTTGAAAGCTTGAGGTCATACCTCATTTGTATTGGATGTGAGCACAACCAAACGTACGCTTACAACATAACTGTTCTAAAAGTTAGAAAAATCTTTGTGTGTTTCTCAAATTGAAATGTAAAAAGGTGAAGGAAAATATACATTGAAGTCTAAAAGCTGATATCTGGAATGTGTCTCAAACTCTCAAGGACTATCTCTCCACATACATTCCATCATACACTGTATGTGTTTGTATTTAAGCCATCATTACCCTTCTGGAAAATCCTAAATTAGCTTAAGTTTGTACCTGGTTTTAAATGGTTTCTAGCTAGTTGAAGCTAATCTCATATCATTGCTGGTCCAAGCTTGTATTGAAGGTTGATCAGCTGTATTACCAGCTGGTGATGTTTAGATGACCTGGCAGATCATCTTGGTCAAGCTTGATTAGTACTACCTTGATAGACTACCAGCTACAAACCAATTTGATGTGACCTTGATAATATATATATTTTTTTCTTCTGGTAATTGCATTTGAGCATTTTAAGGCTTCCTTTTTACCAACAGCAATCTGTTTGCAGGGGCGTGTCTAGAGCATTTTTAATGGGGGGGCCAGTCGGGGGCACTGGCTCAATGAAGGAAATCCGCTTGGGAGTGGAGAGATTCGTCCTCGCGCACATGGATCGCGTAACATTATGCGCTCTCGACATTGTCATTAAGATCACACTATAGAAACCGCCTAAAATTAGAAATTTACTAAAAACAAGCCTATGGCAAGACATCTGGTAGGGAGGGCACCTGGGGTGGCCAGCCAAATTTCAGGGGGGGCCGGTGCCACCCCTGGCCACCACATAGACACTGTTTGAGTGTGAACTTTTACACATGCTTATCAACATACTGACAGCTGCACCTGAGCCACAAATCACCATAATTGACTCTTCAGTTGTGGTCCAAAAAACCCAGCATCATGTGTCGATGATGATGCAGCCATGTCGAAGGACATTTAAATATTTAATCATTTAATCTTTAGCCTCTCCTTTGGCAGCGCTAGGGTTACACAGCCCTACATTTTTATGAGGCCACTATGGACCAGGCCAGAGAGGTTCATCCTTGACTAGAAGCCTCAGAGAAACTCAATGGTGACAAATCAGTTAATCTACTTTGAAGAATCATCACTATATGTCATAAGCCAGAGTGAGCAGTGTGTTAGTTTCATCTTTATGTGTTTTTCGGGATAATGATTATTTTCTGGATTATAATGCAGTGCACTTGCAAATATGTAACTTATGTAGGCTAATTAAATTATATTAGGAAATATAGCTCCAAATTGTCTAAGACATACTCTACACAGTAAATGCAAACACTTCTAGCTGCGCACAAATTATTTTAACAATACTTGTTTGCATACTTGCGTAGAGTGTGCTTCTTGCCTAACTTTTCTTTACTGGAGCTTCACTTAAAGGCACTGTGATGTAGAGGTACTGGGTGGTGACCGAACAAATGGTGGCCACCCTCATTAAGAGTCATGCCAGTTGAATGTAAGAACATTGCTCCAATCTGAACATTGTTCTGTGTACTGCTGAGGTGTCTCCACAAACAAAGTTGGGAAACACTTATTTAGGGCACCAAATAGAAAATGAATACCTCTGAAAGAACAGCCTCTTAAAGAACATCGTTTCTAATATTGGTTTCTTTGCTGTTCAAAGAAAGAGGAATTTATTCTTGGACAGGATGAAGCTAAATTTGCTGTTCTCACTTGAACTTTCCCGCAATAAGAATTCCCTTCGTACTGAAGTGAGGTTTTAATTTTGAAAACCTCAAGTCATAATTCTCATCCTTCATTTGGAAACATCTCACGTATTTCTTCAGACGTACTGTATTTTAGAGAATAATATTTGGAGCAATATAGCAATGGTATGTACGCCATAACACAATTACTAGTCAAATGAAGGAATGTAGATTAAAGCATCATGAGCGCCTTGAAACAATTATCCACCCATAAACCAACTCCTATTTTTAGGAGTGCTAGATGATACCTAAAGAAATACTGTTAGTGTTTGTTGTGAACATACGGTCTGGATCTATGAATCCCAAATCTCATCCAAAATCCTCATGTTTCAAAATTTGAAATACCTCAGATAATACAATTAAAACTGTTGTTAATGGAAGCGTCTAAGTCCTTAAAGACAGCCAAGACATTAGACATGTAGAAAGTGCTCTTTGATTGTATATAATGTACTTTCTGTTGAACATAACACAATTTTGAGTTTAAATTTAAAGATGAACTTTGAACACGCAACTCAGTCTTCATTCTTGTTTGGGCTAGAAAACCTCTCGGTAGGAAATGCTGGAGACAATTCAATGTTGTTGTTGTTGTTGTTTTTTTTGTTATCTTTGATGTATTGTAAGAAGAATTAGAAGTAAAGCATGGAGTGATTTGCCATAATTTACTGTATACAAAGAATCTGCTGTGCAACCGGATGACCTTTTCATAAAGACTGTGAAGAGAGAGACTTTCATGCTTTTTGTGCTGGATGATTTGATGACAATAGATGTTTTTCCATCAAATTCATTCTTCCATACTCTATTTATTTAACTGCTACATTCAATTAATTTTTAGGGGCTTTGAATAAGATGCTTCTGACAATCAGAGGTTGGCTTCTGAAGCTGTGTAATGAGAGATGTGAAAACATTGACCATTAAAGCTGGAAAAACAACATCCTTCTGGCTCATGTGCTTCATTCCAGTCATCAGGTTTTATCTTTTTGTCTGTTTTCATATTGCTTTGCAGTGTTTTATAAACATCTACCACTATCACGGGTTTGTCATTAATCTATAGGAGCTGCTGAAAAATGAAAGGTGAGTAATAAAACGGTTTTTACACAGTCACTTGGGGATGGATGTCAGTCAGCAGGTTTCTTTGTCACTCTTTCAATAGTTACGTAACCACAGAAAGCCTTTCATTAAATAGACGATACGCTAATGTGTGTTTCTGTTCATTTTCATTAGTTCTTCCAAAGTAGTTTTGTGATTTTTATACTTACTTCAACTTCAGTACTTTAGGTTAAAGAAAGTTAAAGAAAATGAGAATGCAATGTGCTTGCCTTGGCCTTACATTTCCAATGTGACATTGATTTTGACAAGTTAATTGATTTTTATTGTACAAGAAAGAGAAATAAATGTGATTTTACACATTTAAAAAAAATTATTTCCTGCAGATTTTACGAGGGCTATAAGTAAATCATAAATCATAATAAATTTGATGAATTACCAGAATGTCAAGTATTCTTGTAGAGGAGAATAATACTGTTGTGACCGTGGTTTCCATTTCAAACTGCTGTGCTTGACATTTTTAAAGACACTTTTGGTGTCTCTAACGGGCAGTGCTTTTGTCAGCATTTATTCATAGTAATTCACCCAGCAGGGTCCTTTTTACATCTGGATAACAAAAGTTTTAATATAACGGAAAATGACACCATAGGTCTCATACTTCAAATAGGACATACCTGAACCAAATCAACAGAATATCACCCCCTTACAAAAATTAGCCATGGTTTTATTATAATAAAAGTGTAGTGACCTTGTTTTTTTTTTGCCGTATTGATTACCATTTGTATAACCACCGTTTTAGGCAAATACCGTGGTTACACTATGGTTGGTGTAGCAAAACCATGGTTAATTTGTGATTACCATGGTTTAACTATAGTAACCATGTTTTTGGTTTTGTAGTAAAACTGCACAGTGTGAAACGATGCGGTGTTGGAATATTACGGCTAGATGATTAGCAACCGACAGCCAATAGCACACCTCATTTTCACATGTTTTGGGCTGTCATGGAAACACCGTGCCTTGTATAAACAGTCGTTTCAGCGTTTGAGGGGAAATATGACAGATAATAAAAGAAAACACGTGAATTGGAGTACAGAAAAGACTTTTTATCTTGGCTTTCATCTTATCATTTCATTCTTACCTTTATAGTATGAAAGTCCATTTAGGTAAACTCAATAAGGTATATTTTAGAAAGATGCGCAATGCTAAGGCCGTTATGTGAACAGATCACGTGCTGCGTTTGTCCAATCAGTGAAAGGGACACTGCAAATACAGTGTATTTAGTATTTAATAGGAGTTTACAGTGTGAAACGTCAGCTTGTAAATACATTAAACTAATTACTAACCCTGCAAATTATGAGCAGCTTGAAACATGAAGAAAGATAAACAAGGATTCCGCTTACCCAGGGTTAAAGCCCTTAAAGGGATAGTTCACCCAAAAATGAACATTTGATGTTTGATGTTTATCTGCTTACCCCCAGGGCGTCCAAGATGTAGGTGACTTTGTTTCTTCAGTAGAACACAAACGGAGATTTTTAAGTCAAACCGTTGCATTCTGTCAGTTCTATAATGGAAGTGAATTGGAATCACGGCTTTGGGAGTTAAAAAACATACACAAACAAAACCAAATTAAACCCTGCGGCTCGTGACGATACATTGATGTGTAAAGACACAAAACGATCGGTCTGTGCAAGAAACTGAACAGTGTTTATATCGTTTTTTACCTCTGATTCACGCAATGTCCGCAATGTCCGAACTGTCCTGAGCGCGTTCTCAACAGCCGGCGCCTGACTCGTCTTCTTCTTCTTCTTCTTGCTTTACGGCGGATCACAGACTTATAAGTGCATTACCGCCACCTATCTCTCAAATGGACCATTGACACTCTATCTACAATGCTCCTGTAGCTTTATGATGCATCAGCGCTGTGTGTGTTTGCTGCCATTCTGTCGGTGGTTACCCTGCGGCATTAGAGAGTTAAGTGTGTGTGTGTGTGTGTCCTGTCTCTAACCAAGCAGATCAGTATATATATATATATATATATATATATATATATAGACTGTGTCTGTGAATATTAAACTGCAAAAAGACGATTAGCAATAAGCCCCAAGAAGCCATGGTTTACAGTGAATTTATAACAGCTAAGGGGCGTTGTTAGGCACGACGTGAATGTAGTTCCTCATAAACGGTTGTGGTTCCAACAAAGTGGTTGCCAAGCAACACACGAATGTACAACACCTTCGTCATATCATATTTATTAATATTAATATTTTTTGGTTTTTATTTACATTTGTTAAAATGTTAACAACTTTGTGTGTTTTTGTCATGACATTATTATTATTTTAAATTTGTCAGTGTAGTTTTTATTCATTTTTATTTCAGTTTTAGGTATTTTAGCACAAAGTTAAACTGAATCAAAATAAGAAATGTTGCCTTGGCAGCTATAGCTGAAATAAAATAACTTTATATTTTAATATTGTATTTCAGTTAAGTTTATTTTAAGTGCTATACCTTTTTTACAACAAATTTAACATAATGTATTTTTTACAGTGATCACTTTATATAAATTACATATTTATATAAAGTATATCAAATATGATTAATTTAGCTTTAAATTACACAATTATTAACCCTTAAACACCTTATT